CAGATGTGGTAGAAAGAGCAACAGAACTGGAATTAAGAGTGGAGCCTGAAGATGGGATTGCATCACTGCAATCTCATGATAAAACTTTAATGGATCAGGAGTTGCTTCTAATGGATAAACATACATACATACATACATACATACATACATACATACATGTAGTTTCTTGAGATAAAAACCACTGTTGGTGAAAACACTTTAAAGATAGTTGAAATGACAACCAATGATTTAGAATATTACATGAACCTAGTTGATTAAGCAGCAGCAGAATTTGAGAGGATTGACTCCAACTCGAAAGAAGTTCTGCTGTGGGTATAAACTAGCAAACAGCATCACATGCCACAGAGAAATCATTTGTGAGAGGAAGAGCCAATCAATGCAGCACATTTCTGTGTTGCATTGCATCATTTTAAAGAACTGCCCACCACCCCAACCTTCAGCAACACCACCCTGATCAGTAGGCAGCCATCAACATCGAGGTAAGACTCTCCACCAACAAAGAGATTATATGATTCACCGAAAGCTCGGATGGCTAGGATTTTTTAGCAATAAAGTATTTTTTAAATTAAAGTATGTATGGGACACCTGGGTGGTTCAATCAGATAAGTGTCCAACTCTTGATCTTGGATCAGGTTGTGATCTCAGTGTTGTGAGATCAAACCCTACATCTAGCTCTGCACTGGGCATGGAGCCTGGTTAAGATTCTCTCTCTCCCTCTGCCCCTCTCCTCTCTCCTCCTCCCTTAAAAAATTAAGGTATGTACATTGTTTTTTAGGCATAATACTATAGCACACTTAACAGATTATAGTAGAGTATAAACATAACTTTTATATGTACTGGGAAACCAAAAAAATTCCTTTGACTCACTTTATTGTGATATTCACTTTATTGCTGTGAGCTGGAACCAAACCCGCAGTATGTCTGAGTTATGCCTGTATTGTTTAGTGCTAAAAAGAAATGAGCTAATCAAGCCATGGAAAGGCATAGAGAAACCTTAGATGTGTATTACTAAGTGAAATAAGCCAATCTGAAAAGGCTTATTTCGGCGTGAGTCCAACTATCTGACATTCTGGAAAAGACAAAACTACAGAAAAAGTTAAAAGATCAGTGGTTTCCACGGGTTGGGGGAGCAGGGAGGAATGAAGGGACAGAACACAGAGGATTTTAGAGCAGTGACATTACTCTATATACTGTAACGATGGATAGAAATCATCATACGTTTGTCGTTTGTCACACCCCACAGAATGTGCAACACCAAGAATAAAGTCTAATGTAACTATGAGCATTGTTGAGCTACTGATGTGTGGATAGAAGTTCATAGATTGTAGCACATGTACAGCTCTGCTGCAGGATGTTGAAAGTGGGAGAGGCTGTATGTATCAGGGAAGAGGGTATATGGGAACTCTCTGTGATTTCTGCTCAGTTTTCCTGTGAACCTAAGCTTGCTCTAAAAAATGAAGTCAATTAAAAAAAAAGTGATGCTGGAGGCCCTAGCCTCATATCCTACCCTGGGGTTTTAAGTCTTGAATGCCAGGGCAGGACCAGACTGTTTTTCCATCTATTCAGGGGTGGGTCATCCTCTTGGTTCTCATTCAGTTTCCTTGATTTGACTCCTGGCAGGGCTTGAGGTTCTTCTCTTTCTTAATCTGAGGACAGGGATCCCTGGGTGGCGCAGCGGTTTGGCGCCTGCCTTTGGCCCAGGGCGCGATCCTGGAGACCCGGGATCGAATCCCACGTCGGGCTCCCGGTGCATGGAGCCTGCTTCTCCCTCTGTGTCTCTGCCTCTCTCTCTCTCTCTCTCTCTCTCTCTCTCTCTGACTATCATAAATAAATAAATAATTAAAAAAAACATTTAATCTGAGGACATTTCCTCCCAGAAAAAGGCTTATACCTCCCTGAGACCTAATAGAAAGAGATGAGGGTGGCCTTATTTGGCCACACCTGCCATGGTTTCCCACAAGTGACAGCTGTGGCAGGCAGATTGAGGCCCTGTGATGGTGATCCCACTCAGGATTCTAACTCAGCACCCTAAATCTGACTTATGTGAAGCCCCAAGTCTCCTCTCTCTGCTGACCTGGGACTTCCCCACTTTCTGTTACCCCTGAGAAGATATGAAGCCACATATGTCTGACATTTATGGCTGGATCTCTCATGACAGTTTGAAGGGTTTTGCGAGTTTCCACTGATGTGGGTTTGGTGGTCCCTGAACTCTTCAGAGTTCACCTTCCTCTTGGCACACCTTGGAAATTCTACCTCTATTGACTTGATTCAATCAACCTCAGACCAAGAATCTTTACCTTTTTTACCTGTTAAGTGGAAATCAGACACAGCCACATCCTTCCCAGGCTGTTTGGGGGACTCTGGGGGCTGACAGCAGGGTCACACTGTTCTAGGTGGCTGCTTTCTGCTTTCTTCACTTCTTATTCAGAGTCCTCACCTTCATATGTATCAGAGACTGGGGGTCCTCTCTCTACTGACCTGAGGCCAGCCTCCTATGGCAGGATTCGCCTGTTCCCAAAAACCCTGAAGAATAAGTAAGGGGATACTCAGACCTATAACTGCCTGGCATGTTGCTCTCCACAGTCCTACTATAAAGGGATCTTCATCATGGTTCCTGTTTCTTGATTGAAGGCTTGCCAGGAAAGGCTATATCCCTGCAAACTCTTGACCATTTTCCCTATTGCAAACCCTTGAGAAACTAGTCCCTGTCCCAGGAGTGATGTGAGATATGGAAGCTGCAACACAAGGCAGAGGCCCCAGAACAGATATGCTGCCAAAGGAAAAAAAATGCTTTAACCTATTTCTTCTCTTCAGTAACCAGACTTAGCTTTTAATGTAACTTCTGTTTGAATAGATGTAACTTTATGGAAGGAGCTAGCCAAGATGATTTTGTAAGCCCCTGATCTTTCGAGGTTGACTTTGGATATATAGATGATCCTATTGTCGCTGGTTATTATCCCTTTCTCTCCTTTATTCACACTTCTCAATTATTTTGAAATGGTAATTGCTCTGGTTATATATTCCAATCCAGTGTTTTGGGCACAGAGTCCTTTTTAGTACCTGAGATAATTTTTGTAGTAGTGAGAACAAAGGGGAATCAAGGAACATGAATTTGGCCTCATGCTGGGAGGAGTAGAAAAGTGTAGAATTCAGACTAATTCAAGCCAGGAGTCTGGTTCCAAACGTGTCACTTAGCAGCCATGGGCACAGTACCAAACTCTGGGGGCTGTCTTTTCATCTGTGAAATGGGTTTGATAAGCTCTCTCTTGGGGACAAATAGAATGCCCATAACGCATATAAAAATACATGGCACATTGCCTGGCCTGTAGTGAGCTTTAAAGGAGCCAGTTCTTACTTTGATTAATTTGTCCCCCAGAGTTTCAACTCACTACAGTGAGATTTAATTTTTAATGCAGGGGATGTCAGAAACTCTGCAGTGCTCTAGAACAACAACAACCAAAAATTCTATTAGACACAATGGTGCTTAGCAAGGAACACTAATATTTCCCCATTAAAGTATGTCATCCAATGTTGGCATAAGGTAGACTTTATTTTTCCCCCCTCATGTTTATCTAATATTTTATTCTTTTATATGTATATTTTTTATTGGAGTTCAATTTGCCAAATATAGTATAAAATCCAGTGCTCATCCTTAGTAGATGCAACACAAAGCTCCGAAAATATATTTCAAGGCCCCAAAACTTACCTTTCTCCCAGCTGCCCTTCTTTCTAAACCACTTTGACATTCATTCATTCAACCACCAACAAAAATTTAGACTTTCCCTGGAGTTTGCCAAGTGACATACAAGATAACCTAATTTGGATGATGTTTTAGTGGGCTCTGGCTCCCTCAACCCAGGGCCAAGGGTGCCAGTCCAGAAGGTTCTGGGCATCCACTCCAAGGGAGTACACACTTACTCAGAGACCCTTTGGAGATGATGTAAACAAAACATCTAATTTGCACACTGTGTTCACCTACACCGAGACAAGAGCACAGGACACATTCCATCCCTGTCCCAGGTGATCTCTCTGTCTGGTTTTCCCACAATTCCAAAGTAACTTTAAGGGCAGTTTCTGGACTTAGTCTTTCAACTCTGAATCCCACCATGTGAGGGGCTGGCTCTTGCTCCCTCTGATCACAGCCTCGTGGAGCACCCCACCCCCCACGCCCCCACCTCCCCCACCCCCGCCCCATGCAGACAGCTTAGAATTACCTCCCACCTAAGGACCTGCAGTCTCCGAGTGCCCAACACTGCCTTGCTTCAGGGGACTGACACTTAACTGCTCTCATCTGGAACCACCTCTCTCCTGTTTTACCCCGTCTTTTCATGTATCCTTTCGGTCTCAGAGTGTCTGTCACCATTCTTCCTTGTGCGATAGATGCTTCTTGACGCTATAATTTTATGGTCAATGTCTCAGTCCTCAGCTTTCCCAGTGCTAGCATGAAGCCTTATAAGAGCAGATGCTTAGTCAATGTTTGGGGAACAAATGGCCCTGTGATCATGGGGTCTAATTCATGAAGGTTTAATTCTACATTCTTCAGTTAGTCAAGCACATACTGTTATTTAGAATTTTATAAAACATGGAGTAAAAGAGATTAGGAAGCCAAATACTGACCATCTTATTCTTCCCCCTCTCTATCTTGATTTCATGTGTTTTACTGCCTAAGTTTTTCACATTTTTAAGGGAAATGCATACTCCAATGTGATGTTATGTTATACCACATTACTAAATAAGATAGAATTTTTCCCAATTTGTTTTATAAAACAGCAACACTCTTATTCTAAAATCTGATAATAAGTGAGACCAATGTAATTCATAAATTTAGACTATAGTGCTAGATAAGCCTTCATTTCAAAGTAACATTTGAAAAACAGCAAAAAATAAAGATGCTGATAAATCTCCAAATTACCCATACAGAGCAAGAGCACAAAGGTATTATACACTGTGTTCCTGAAGTCACAGCTAGCCCTCACTAATCAGGACACTGACTGCTCTCTTCAGCCACAAGATGAAGACTCTGCCTCAACTTCATCAGATGTCAGAGGAGTTGCTGGAGAGTTCCTGGAAGATTCACTGGCTGTGGCATCCTTCTCAGCCCCGAGGGTAACCGCGGCCTTAACCCGCTCTTCCTCATCTCGCAGAGCCTCTTCATACCAAGAGTGGAAGGCACTGGGGACCGTATGATTAATCTTGGCCCAAAACTCTAGCACTTTCATCTTGCTGGTCTCGGCATGGGCTCTGGGGCCCCACAGGAACTCATAGCGTGCAGGATTACTGTTGGGCACTTGGCGGTACTCCAGGTACTTCAGCTTCACCAAATCTTCAGTGATGAGCTTTTTGGGCTCCCCAAAGATGAAATGCCTCTTTCCTGCATAGACTCTCATCTTATTCAGGAACTCCCAGATCTTCTCCTCAGTGGCACAGTTGCCCTTCATGAAGATCACGCCCAAGAGGTTCATCAGGAGTCCAGTCTTGGGAAATCCTCTGCCACCACTCACAGTCCCATTGTTGGGGAGATCCATTTTGCTGACAAGGATATAGGAATCCTTGGTAGAATTGCCTTCCTTTAAGTCAACTCCAAAAACCACTTCCAGGTTGAAAGAGGCTCTTCTGAGGATCTCAAGGAAGCGATTTTTGTACTTTTTATTGACAATCTTCAGCATATTAGCTTTCGTAATGAGCTTTTTCCTTCTGTACATGTACATCAAGAACTGCACCAAAGTACCTGTTGTTTTGGTCAGAGGGTCTCCTGGAGACTGCATAATGGGGAGTGGAGCCTGGGAGGAACTTTGCTTCTTCTCAGTTTTGCAGTTGACTCCTTCATATGGTCTTGTGTGAGAAACCCCTGCAGACTTGGTGGATAGGGCTCTCTGAGACCTCTTGAGAGTGCTACATGATCTAAAAGTGGGCTTTCTGCAAGTAGGAACTCCAAAAGGAGGAGGGGCCGAGGAGGGGAATGCTTGCTCCTTGGCTGCAGTGGCTAGAGCACCCTTTCGATGCTGGGGCCCACCTCGGGCTTGGTGGCATTTCTCACGGGTGCGGAACTTACTCTTCTGTTCCCGAGGCATGATGGCTATAGTCAGGGACAGCAGATATGAGTGTGGGTAGGACAGCAGGTGATCTGGGCATGAGAGAAGAGAGGAGGAGAGGGAGAACCTGTTCAACAGGCAGAGATCACCTTGGCTTTGACCAAGGCCGCCTCTGCAGGTTTCTGTGAGGGTACTGCTCCAGGAGACCACAGGACTCCTGTTATGATCAGCCTGTACTCTGAGAATCCTGTGGAAATAATTAAAGTGAGCCTCAGACTGCAGCCTGCCAGCCCTGCTTGGTGCTTACTGGGGTTGAGAGCAGCGGTGGGCAGGTCTAGTCCTTGTGGAATCCTCTTCACCCTGGAGTATGAGGATCTTTTTAATTCACATTCAGGACCAGCACATCAACTTCTGGCAGGGCCCAGGGGCCCCCTCCTCTGTGCTGCCCTAAATTTACATCTCAAACCCACGTCCTCCTCTTCTTGGGACCCCTCAAGAGAAACTAAAGGGGCACCTTGGCCCACTACTACTGCCTTGGCCTACTACTGCCACCCACTGCTGACAGTACTGTGGAACTCTCTGTTCTGGGGTTATTAGGGTCCTCAGTCTTTATTCAGTGTCCTCACCTTGGCTCTAGGCAGGGCCTGAGACAACTTCCTCTGCTGATCTGATGTCTCTTCCCTGAAACAAAGGTTCTCACCAACCTGATGCCTAAAGTAGGCATCAAAAATAAAGTAGGGTTCACATACCCTTACTTCCATGTCTGGGCTCCCTAGTGCTGTAAACAAGGGGGGGGTTCTCTGTTGGCTCTTCTTTGGGGTGAGTACCATCACTCTTCACTCAGGGTCTTCACTCTGACTCCTTGAAGCCCTGGGTCTCCTCCCTCTGCAGAACTGAGGCCGCTCAATTAGTCCAACAGCCTTACCTCTCTGGGACTTGCCATACAGTAATGAGGGGAGTACCTCAGCCTAAGCAGCATTGGAGTTTTTCCCAGGGCTGAGTGAAGGGTCAGAATTTATAAGACACACATTTTAAATTTGGTGCTCCCCTTAGTCCTCATTTAGGTCTCTTACCTTAACTATAGGTAGGACTTAGGCATCCTGCCTCAGAGTATAGTTCTCATTCCCTGAGTTCCTAAAGGGGAAATTAGGGTCTCCATATGAGTACTCCCACCAAAAGTCTCCAGAAATAAGTGCAAGGTTACTACTTTCCCTAACTGAAGACAGGTCTCCCATTAGTCTCAGGGACCTCACCTTCACTGCAGTCAGGGCTTAGGTCTCCTCCATCTGTAGGACCCTGGCTACTTCCTTAGACTGAGGCCTTGCCTACCTGAGACTTCCCAGGCAGGAAGTCCTATAGCTCTGCTGGGGCCTCCCAGGGCCAATAGCAGCATCGGGACTTAATGGAATGCCTTTTTATGGTTCTGGATGGTCCCTTCAGTCCCCACTCAATGTCTTCACCTTGACTCCAGACCAGTCCTGAGAATTCACCATCAGGGGGCCAGAAGCCTCACCCCCAGACAAATGTCCTCACTTCCTGGAAACTCTGAATGGGAAGTAAAGATGAGTCATATTTGGCCACAAGTGCTCAGGGTCTCTGAGGGCTGAAAGCAGGGGCAGAGCTCTGTGGGACCCCACTGTTCTGGAGTCGGTGGTCCGTAGGTCCTCACTCAAAGTCTTCCTTTTGGTATCTTTCAGAGCCTGGGACTCCTCCCTCCACTAAATTGAGTTCACCAAGCTCCAAACACAACAGCCTTCACTTCCAGGAGCTCTCAGGGAGTGGGGGGTGGCAGTTGTCAGTGACTGCCAAATAAAACTATCCCAGAACCAAATGTAGGGGTCCAGCTTTCTGTTCTTATCTCTACTGGGAAGAGATCCCTTCTTTAGCACTCAGGACCCCCCACCCCCTTGACTCTAGTGAGGGCCTATGTTTCCTTCATCTGCAGAATCAGGGCCATTCTCTTAGACCAAGACTTTCCTTCCTGAGACTTCCCAGGCAGAACTCGGCCTAACAGTTGTGCCAGGACTTTCCACTGCGGACTCCAGGGGCGGTACTTTGTGAGGCCACCTTTGTTATAGGACGGGGAGTGGTTCTTTCACTTCACATTTACGTCCTCACCTTGACTTCAGAGAAGTCCTCAGATTCCACTCTTTGGCGGAACAAACGCTGCGTCTTTCGGTTTAGGTCTTGATCTCCAAAGCGGAAGTTCCGATGAATCATATCCGGCCATGGCTGCCGAACGTTCTGAAGTCTGACAGCAAAGACAAGGCTCTGTGGAATCACTGTGATCCCACAAACCTGGGACTCCTCCCCCTACTGACGCAGGTCTGCCAGGCCCCAAAGGAAACCCTCACTTTCTCGGGTCCCTAGTAATGAGTCAGGGTGCACTGCTTCTGCTTACCTTTGCCTGGGGCCCCAGAGACTTGAGAAGAGGAGCCAACTCTGTGAGCCTCCTCCCTCTTTGGGGAAGAGATTCTCTCATTAGCACTGAGGGTGCTCACCGTACTCCGGTTATGGCGAAGACTTCTCTCCCTGCAGAAATGGGGCCCTTTCTGTTAGAAAAGACCCCACCTTCCCTGAGACTCACCAGGCAGAAATGAAAAGCTTCTCAGGCTTATATCTCTGCCAGAGACCTCCCACGGTTAACAATGGGGGGGTGCGTTGGGTTTAGCGTTGTCCTCTTCCTTCACTCAGGGACCTGACCTTGCTCCTGGCCAGAGGAGCTTCTCCTCCTTACTCTGCTCAGATCAAGGGATGCTCTTTCCTGAGACCTCCCAGGTAGAAGAGTGAGCACATTAGGCCAGGGATATTTGGGTCCTAAGAGGTGGACAGCAGAGTTGGGTCTCTTTGGAACACCACTGTTCTGGAGTTGGTGGTCCTCACATTTATTACCCGGGGACCTCAACTAGATATCTATCCAACCCAGGATCCTCCCTCTACTGAAGTGTGGCCATTCTCCTTAGGATAAGACTTTGGCCTTGCTGAAAACTCTGAAGAGTAAAAGAGGGGATGCCCACTCTGATTGCCCTGCTAGGCATTCTAGGCCTGAGAGCAGGTTTGCCAGGTATCTGAATGACCCCCTATAATGTGAGGTGGTTGTTTTCCCAGTATTAATCATGGGGGGGTATTGTCTCTCAGATTAAAGAATTCTTGGGCAACACCACATCCACGCAAACTAGAGCAGTGTCCCTAACGCAAGCCTTGCAGGTTACTATCTCTGACTTAATGTGAGATAGAAAAACCAAAACGTAAGACAGGGGACCCAAGAGAGAGGTAGGCTGTCAAAGAAAAATGATGCTGATCTTTTTTTTTTTTCTTCAGTAATCAGAGTGAGCCTCTTGGGTGATTTCTGTTTTAGTTGATTTGCTTCCTAACAGAAAGGAGTCGTCCAGGATGGTTTTGTGATTCCCCAATCTTGAGGTTAACACTGCATATGTAGATGATCACATTGCCACCGAATATTATGTTTCTCCTCTTTGTTCATGCCTTTGATTTACTGTGGTATTCTTAACTGCTTTTACTATGTATTCCAATCCAGTTCTCTGAACACAGAATCTTATTTTCTCCCCTGAGATACATTTGGACTATTAAGGAACACAAGGTTTGCTTTAGGCAGAGAAGAATGGAATGATCAGCGTGTGTTCTAGAGGAATTCAAACTAGGCAGTTTAGTCCCAGCCTTGTCACTTACTAGCCCTGTGAACTCCAGCATATTACCAAACTCCAAGACAAAGAAATCACAATCAACCACGATGATGTTTAGCGATGCCAATTATGTAATATATCCTCATTATACAGTGTGCATGTGTGTGTGTGTGTGTGTGTGTGTGAGAGAGAGAGAGAGAGAGAGAGAGAGACTTTCGCAGTTGGATTCAACTCAATTCTCAGAATTTTTGTCAATGACTGATATTTTCCCTAACTTCCAGCTGCCCATCTATCTAAATCATCATTATTTTCATTCATTTAACCATCAGCAAAAATCTAGACCTTGCCAAATTGCATGCAAGATAAAGTGAGTGTTCCTTCGAAAAAGTTGCCTATGGCTCCCCCAATCCAGGGTAAAGAGTGCCAGTCCAGTGGATTCTGGACACCCCATCTCAAAGAAGTATAACTCTTATTGGTCAGAAACTCCCTGGTGAGGATGTACATAGAACATCCAGTCTATGCACCATGTTCAGTTGCACTGGGCAAGAGCAGAGACACCTACCACTCCTATACTATGTGATTTTCTCTGGTTTAGCCACAATTCCAAATATCTTGTTAAGGACAAGCTTCTATTGAAGGCTTAGTCTTTTATCTCTGAGGCCCACCATCTGAGGGTCTGGCCCCTGCTTACCACTCCCATAAGCCTCATCTAGTCCACCATGCAATCTCACTTGAAATTGCCCCTCACTGAAGGGAGCAGTTTCCTAAAACTCCATGCTGCTTTGCCCCAGACTTGACTGCTTTTAACTCATGCCTCCTCCCCTCTTCAAACCCCTCCTTGTTCTTTAGGTCACAGAGAATATGTCATCATCTCTTTTTCTATGAGAGCAGAATCCAGACTCTAACATTCGAAGGGCCGGGGCTAGAATGTGTGGTTGCTGTTTTGAGGGTTCTTTCTTTTTAAAGCATCCCAGTACTAGCCTGAAGCCTTCCAAAGAGCTCATTCCCACTTAATTATTGGAAATGAATGAGAGGGAGCATGAGGTCTAACTCCCCAACATTTAATTTCTCTTACACAGCTGAATAATCTAAGCAAGTCCAGGTGTATAACTTTTACTTTTAGAAGAAACACTAGAAGGAATTAGGCAAACCAATAATTGACAATCTTTTCCTTATTTATACATCTTTTTTTCCCTCTTAATGATGAAATATTTATAAAGTACCTACAGTATACTAGATACAGTGCTGAGACACAAGCCCAAATAAGACAAAATATCTGCTTCTTTAGAAAACTACTTTATTGAGGTATGACTGATACCCCAAAAGCTTAGAGATAAGCATACACCTGTGGACCACCATCACAATCAATGCCATAAACATACTCATGACCTCCAA